AATAGCCCTGCACTTCCATGCATAGTCCTAAAGCCTGACACGTGCTATATAAAGATCAAGTATTAATAAGAGTTGCACGTACAGCACCCTAGGTGCATGCATGATATGTTACAGAGGGAATTAAAACCTATCCCACATCCCAAAGAGTTTTGTCCCACTGCTTGCACGACAGGCACAACCTGATATCTGAAATACCAAGCTCAGTTCATGCCACTTCCCCTCTAGCAGCATCAACAGTAACGAAGGGGCCGATTCTTCATTGCGCGGTAACATCATTTACCCCAGTGCAAAGTGCGTGCAAAACACCGCCATTCTGATGGATTCCCACCCCCTTGCCTCACTCTGCCCTGGGGCGAAGGACGGTACGATGCACAGGGTGATGGAGAATCAGGATCTCGGCAAGCTGAGCACCGCAGACAATTCTGTTGCTGCTGGTGTGTAAGGCAGCAATTAGATAAAGGTTTCTAACCATCAAAGGAGTGAGGTTCTGGAACTGCCTTCCAAGGAGAGCAGTGGGGGGAAAAAACCTAACTGGCTTCAAGACTGAGCTTGATAGGTTCATGGAGCGGATGGTCCCTTAGCTGGATTCACTCTGCAGGGCTGGTCAGTGTAAAATGTGGCCACGCCAGTCAAACGAGAGGCCTCGTCTCCACTACAAATGGGTTGTGGGTATAACTGTACAGATAGCGCGATACTGGCACAGCCAGCTAGTGGAGAAGCAGCTTGTACCAGCAAAAGAGCGATGTTGCCGGTAGAGTTTACACCAGCTCTGCAAAGAAATGAGCTCTACCAGCTAACGAATTTTTTTTCTGCCAGCACAACTGCATTTACACTGGAGTTTTGCTGGCTTAGCCATGTCGGCTGGGGGTGATTTTTTCACACTCCTAAAGTCTGAGCTAGACTTAACATTTTGACGGACCTAGCTGTGTCGATCCGGGGTGTGAAAAATCCACCCCCCTGCGCGACGTCGCTGTGCCGACCTACCCCCCGGTGTAGAGCAACTAGGTTGATGGATGAATGATCCCGTTGTCCTAGCTACCTCCGCTCAGGGAGGTGGTGTTCCAACACCCCCTTCCATCACTGCAGTGTCCACGCTACAAGGTTGTGCCGGCAGAGCTACAGCGCTACAGTCCCCTGGAGTGTCGACATACCTGAACGGATGTAGCTATGCCGGCAAAGCACTTCGGTGTAGCCCAGGCCTCAGAGATGCACAAGGAGTCACAGTGCTGAGTGACAAGGAACGGTACACAGCCCCTTTTCTGGCTGTAACCACCTATTAAGCGCCTGTTTCTCGCTACAGTGACACACGGATGGATCCCGCAGCAGTTGCAGTGAGAGCCGCAGCCTTGGCTTATGAAATTGTGTTGTCTGATTCACGCAATCCATAAACTGAGGCAGCGCTAAGTGAGAGTGCATGATTAACGAGCGCCCTGAAATTCCCAATTAATCAGTCTCATTCATTTTGCTCCTCTGCGCTCCACGTTCAAATCTGCAGCCTCGTTCCCTTCCAAAGCCGCCCACCCCATCGCCCTCGGCACCCTGCCCTTCCCGGGATGCTGATGGATGTAAGTAACAGAATGGAAAGCCAGCAGCGCTATCCATCTCTGTTGGGTGGGTAAATGGAGCTGGTGTTTCAGAGAGTGATTTCGCCATCGCCACTAAATGCACACATCCCTTTAGATTTAGTGAAAGTGTCACTCGCAGCCTTTCCGGGGAGGCTGGGGAGGGGGCCCCGTGGTTGGTTTGAAGAGATAAAGAAGCAACAGTCGCCTGCATGGTGTACATGGGAGATGAGTCTGTATGCCTCCCTCCATGCATGCTGCCAGCCAGACGTGCAGGTGCTGTGCTGTCACAGGGAAGCAGTGCACAGCTCTGCCCAATTGATGGTGAGCAGGTTGTCTTGGGGGCTCTTCTATATCCATTGAGATTCCTCCGTCCTTCCCTGCGACCCAGAAATGAGTCCCCGTAGAACACCATGGGAGTCACCCCGTTTGGTGGCTCTCCAGATGCTGTTCGAAGAGGCACCAAAGAACAGCATGTCCCAATCGCTCTTTCTGTCATGTCAATGTGGGGTGGAAACAACCAGCGTGGGGTGAAATCATGTAGGTTGAATCCTGGTGAGCAGAAACCATCTCTGGCCTGAAAGAATCACAGTATGGGTGGGGTGAGGAGAAACTATTGCTGGACAAAAGTACAGCAACCAGAACGCCACAGAACGAAAGAGTTGCAAGGAGCAGCCATCAAGAGAAAAAAACGCTGCATACAAATCACTGGGAGGAGAAATCATTGCTCTCTGCGTGCCAGGAGGAGATTAAAATACCACGAGGAGAGACCGTCACACCCAGATCCTGTGAGGAGAGACCGTCACACCCGTCACACCCAGAACCCGTGAGGAGAGACCGCCACACCCAGAACCTGTGAGGAGAGACCGTCACACCCAGAACCCGTGAGGAGAGACCTTCACACCCAGAACCCGTGAGGAGAGACCGTCACACCCAGATCCTGTGAGGAGAGACCGTCACACCCAGAACCAGTGAGGAGAGACCTTCGCACCCAAAACCTGTGAGGAGAGACCGTCAC